GAACCCAGATAGACCTGGACCGGTGAGGGGACCAGAGCCCAAACAGAGTCAGTACCACCAATGGAAATACCTCTGATCAGAAAGTGGGTTGGTTGGTTGGTCCACCACTTTGGCCCAGACAAAAATATTTCAATGGCTATCTGATGGATTCCCATGACATATTGTGCAGACGTTCATGTTCCCCAGAGGATAATAATAATACATTTGATTTAATATCATTTTAAAATCCAAAGATACTTTATAAAGGGGATGAATCCTGCTGACGTTGGTTTTCCTCTAGCGCTACCAGCAGGTCAACATTTGTGTTTTTCAGTGAAATTACTCAACGATTGAATGTATTCCCAAGAAATGTGGTTCAGACATTCATGTTCCCCAGAGGATGAATCCTGCTGACTTTGTTGAACCATGAATAATGAATAATCAATAAATAACATAACTGCTACCTCTGTTGAAGAAACCAACAGCACTCGGTTAGGTTCAGGAGAAACTGGTGCAGAAAAGGTCAAAAGTCACTTCATCTGATTCCGACGCACCGAGGCGCCCTTTAGCGTCTCTCTATGAAACGCATTGGGCGTTCAACTAACTCCAATACAAACCCAACATTGTTAGACAGTCACAGCAGCTGACGTAGTTTAAAATGCAAACAAGTCCCCATTGGGAGGTCAGGGTGGCTGGATTTGGTCAAACACACACAAGACTTTCACCCAGGAGACTGCTGTCCATGTCCCACAAAAACAATGTAGTTTTATTAAGTAACTGGCGTAGCTACGTAACAACTTATTTCAGTTGTTTTAAGATGTTTTCCTGAACCCACCCAATTAGTTTTGTTGCGTACGTAAACCTAAAGACTAAATAAACCTACGTTAGAAGTTTATTTTGAAAAGACACACTATGCATTGAATGAGTTTCTGACACGTCCAAAACTGACGCTAGACTGAATCTAAAGCATTTGTAGCTTATAGGGCCACTGACCACGTGTTGGTGTTTCAATAGTTGGGAGTGAGAATGTGTTGCATTAATCTTTCCCTGACCTAAAATGGCTTTGGTGCTGAAATCTAACTGTGCATAGGATCCTCAGTGTCCGGAGTCCTGGACTCATAGGCTCACCATTACCCTGAATTTAGCCCTTTTTTCACTGGAAGAACCTTTGCCACTGAACATAATCCTGCCACCAAATATGTGTCTTTTAAAAACAAATAAACGACACACAAACGTGATTTCACAGGACTCCCAAAGTCCTCACAAAGATAGAAGTACGGGAGCCCGCGGTGTGATATGGATTTCCTCTGAAGTGGAGAAGCTGTCAGACAGAATCATGAATGTGACGGAGGTGAAAGGAGAGCTAATCTCTTCCACGTCGACGTCAAACAGCTCCGCTCTCAGCCGAGTATCGAGCTGCTCCACGGCAACACGCAGGATGTGAGAAGGATTCACGTGAAGCACAAAATAAAAAGAAATAGAAACTCATTCATTCAAGCAGAAACTGTTGTTATTTCTTGATGTGCATGCTGAGTTGTGGACGGTTCGGTAAAGTGAGGATATTTTTAGGACATTTTCACTTGTTGAAAAAGGCTGTTTGGGGTCCTGGAGTTGATTTGATTCGACAGCAGCACACAGAATTACTTTAATAGAGAAAAATACCCTGAAGTCTGTAAAGAGGGTGAGAACCAGAGTCGTGCATGAGCTCATGATTCACTGCTGTTGTATCATTCAGTACTTCCCTTTGGATCTAAACTCCTGAGCACAAACACAGACACGTTTCTGAGGCAAATAATGCCACAGATGTAATGTTTGCTCGTCTAAATGTTAGTTTAACTCAATTCTTTATTTGTGACGATTTGGAGCTCATACGGCCAGTTTTATGTACTAAAGAAAGTCAAAACGTTACTACTTGTATGACTTACAGGTTCAATGGGAGAAAGATGTTTTAATGTGATGCTTTGTTTCGTTACAAAGTTCAACTCTAATTCAAACTAACAGCTCGGTAAATGGCGTGGCCATGCGCTGCGTCTGCATTGTTAGTTTTGCTTTGAGGGAAACGGATTACGTTTGATTTTGACGCATCACAAATGCGTTTCATCAAAGGGAGGAGCGAGAGATGGGAGGAAGGCTTCAAACAAACACGGGACTTTCACCCAGGACACCGCTGTCAACATTCACTTTTAATTTACATCTGTAACTTAAATAACATAACAAGCCAACTTATTTTAATCCAAATCATGATGTGTCTGCTAAACCTGACCAAGTAGTTTTGTTAACCACGTGTTTAAAAATGCAACAATAATCAGGGAGTAGATATGTTTCTCTCATAAATGAAGATGCAGTTGAGTTGCATGGGAACGGAATTTTGTAGAAGAAGTAATGAAGGTAAATAAACAGTCCTCAGGGCTGTGATTCGTGTAATAACATCTTTGGTTTGAAAAAAATACATCTTTAAAACCAAGTTTGTCAAAACAAAATCATACACTGGATGTTTTTGGCAGTTATAAGAATGAAATGCTCGGACAATTTAGACAAAACATTCATTCCCTCAAGGTTTCTTACTAGCCTCTACCTCCCATGTCTTTATGTTTTTGATGTGCAGGGTTTGTTCATCTTCTTTCAGAGTAAAATTCAAGCACTTTCAAAGGACCTGAACCAAAAATGATTCTCTCAGCTCCAATCATCACATTCCTACAAATGCCACTGCAGGAAAGGTTTACAGAACAAAGATTAGAGATCGATTGACACTTTGTTTTATTTGACCAGCTAATTTCCAGAGGACTTATCCAGCTTTGCTTTGTTTAAATCTTCACAGTGTCAAAGAACAGCCTTTAAATCATCAGTGAACAAGAGAGAATATAACAATATCTATATCTGTTCAAACAGCAAGACTGAAAGGTTCAGTACTCACGGAAACTCATTCAGTTCTTTTTAATTCAGGGTTTAGATCGTTTCGTTACAAGAGTGATTGTGTGAATGAAACACCAGATTGTGTTGAGAATGAAACATTTTTCAAAAGTATATTTGATTTCCAGCATATTCCTAAACTTTTGTTTACATAACGTCTTGAAATTAAGCATTTTGCCATCTTTCCAGACTTTGCACAAACCCTGAATATTTGATTCTTTCTACCCTGTTGATCAACATGCCAGCTGTCCTGGTCCAGCATGACGATGCTGTTGTGCATGAAGCCGGATCCATAAGCTATACCTCCACCTCGGTGACCTGAACCCCTTTAAAACACGTTCATCCTAAACTGTAAAACCCCAACACGGTGTCACAGTGACACGTTCAGGTGTCTCCTGTGCTTTGTTCCACTTACTCCTGAGCTGTGTGCTGGGAGGTAAAGCTGGTTCTTTTTGATGGAGGATGGTTTGTCAATGAAGGCAGAGGAGACGCTTTGATGCCTGAATGGATTAAAGGAAAGGTCAGCAGGTAGAACGTTGACATCCCTCTCTCCTCTCTCTCGTCTGTCAGTGTAATTTCTCACATCACGAATGTTTCAGGCTCACGACGGTAGAAAATGCAGCTCAGCTTAGTTTAATCGCCGGCACATGAGAAGCGTTCCTCCTGCATGTTGGCAGGCGTCCTATATGTTTCCTGCAGATATGGAAGGAGTGTTTTTAAGACTCGGCGCTGCTTTATTTATCTTCCACCTGCAAGTTCTCACTGAACTCTGACGTTCTGCAGGAATTTAAGCTATAAAAACTCTGAAAATTCTTTCTTCAAATGAGCAGCAGCTGTAACTTCTACAAAAGTTGTTCTTTAGTTTACCTGAATGTGAAATGAATTGGAAGTTTCTGTCAAATAGGTCACATTTACCAGAAAAGAGGGTTGTAGCTTCTATTAAAGCAGTCACACCTTCTCTATACATTTATCGAAATTTGTGGATCTGAAGTGCAGTTTACATTTAACAATTTAAAGCATGTCGTTGTCATCATTCATTCAGTTTTTTGTTGTTGTTATAAATGACCAAAAAGTGTTATTAACAGTCGAATTAATAGAGAAAATAACCAATTTGCCTTATAAGTAGATATATATTGAACGTAATGTATTTGAATGAACCTCAACATGATGAACTTTATTTCAGGACAGGATGATTACTTAACTAACCTGTAACATCTGAATCCCTCTGCTCAGATCCCTCAGAGATCCACAGGCTCATTCAGTCGACTCATCTTCTGTCACAAGGTTGAAACAACTCAAATCCTTCTCTCTCATGTCTCTGTCTCCTCCTCCTCCTCCTCCTCCTCCTCCTCCTCCTCCTCCTCATATTAGCTCTTATCTGAATTTTTGTACAAATCCTTTGTACTTCTCTTCTCATCTGTTTCCTCTTTTTATTATTTATTTCTGAACATTAATACTTTCTCGCTCAAAATACCGAACTGAAAAACCCCCTCGTCGTCATTTTTTAAAGTCTCTGGTGAGAGAGAAACTTGGAGGGAATAAATCCGTTCTTCTCATCTCCTCTTCCCTTTCTGGTTCGTTCATGATGATTCTGTGATGTCTGGTACAGTTTGTGTCTGGTGTATTTATTTTAGAATCTACTCATTTATTGTTACCTTTTCCCATTAATTAACTCCTTTATAATAACTTTATACATGTGGATTGATGCTGGGAAAACTAAATTCTGCTACTCTATTAGTGTTGTTGACAATACAAAATAATTTTAATATTAAATGTTTCAATTATTCAGTGTTTAGCATTCAGAAATGTCTGACCATCACTGTAGAAAAGAGCAATTATTGACACTTAAACTCTCCATTAAATGTCAGAATAACACAAAGAAGAGTTAAACAACAAAAATATTCAGAAAGAAATCGAATGAAAAAATAAATATTGCATGGAGATTTGAGAATTTTCAATTTTGAGCTCCAATCAAAAGCACTAAATCAGCCAAATGGACCTTGAGGTGAGGTGTCAAAACTACAGGTGGAGAATAGCAGTTAGTTCTTTGTGCATTGTCACTGTTCAAATAAAGACAAATAGCATAACTTAACATAATATAACTTGGGTCAAGTTTTAATAACAAATAAAACATCAATATCTATAAAGTATCATACTGTTGAGTATTAAACCAACAACAAGAAGGCTTTAGGTGTGTTTGGTAATCAAATCAAAGGAGAAACTAATGACAGAGACATAAACACTGACAACATTTAATGTGACTGCAAAATGTGGGAATAAAACCTTGAAATCATTGTAAAATGCCTTGAAATCACATATTTTATGAATTACATGTGATATGAAGAACACTGTTTCCATCTAGTGGCTGTGAGATTGTTGTGCCTTCTGAATGTAATAAACAGGTGTAAAACCCTTCACCTGTGGAGGAAAACACCGCCATCTAGTGGAGATGTTGTTCTGCATCATCAAAAATATATATTCCCAAGCTTTTGACAGTAGAGGAAGGTGGTGGTAACACTTACTGTCTTAATACATACATCATTAAACCTGTGAGCTCTGGTTGTGGAATAAACCTGGTAGCCCACACTAAAATCTGAGTGTGTGTCTTCTTGCTTACCTACCTTTGTGAGGACCAATAGGTGTAGACATAGAAACGAGGACTTTCTTGAAAAGTGATGACATTTTGTCTCGTCCTCACCAGAACTGTTTTAGAGTTTGATGGTGAAGTTCAGAAGTTGGCGTAGGAAATACAATTCATCAATGAGTGTCCTCACAAGTACAGCAGATAATTCTGCTCTTGTGGTAAATCTTTTTTGTTATTTATATATGTTTTATTCTTCTGTATCATTATTTCCATTTGTTGTACCTTAAAGTGAACTTAATAACTGATCTGATCTGCACTGCCACTGCTTGGGAAACTGTTAATTGACAAATTGGTGATGTACATATCGGTATTCTACCTGTTTAATTTGATGTTGACAGGTTGTCGACCTGTAAAAGGTTAGCGACCTCATGCAAACTATTGTTACAAGCTCTGCACTGTGGAGCAGCGTGAGTAGTTGCAGAGAGGTAGTTTCTAGTCAAAATGTTCCACTATTGTTGTTAAGTCCCATCCTGATTTACACTTTGTACAAAAAGTTAAGTGGAACTTCTCCTGTTTTAGTGTATCATATCATTGAATCAAAGTCTATTTAAAGTCAAAGTGAGCCAAGATGAACACACTAATACTTATTAAAAGCAAATATATCTGGTGTCTGGGAGGCCAAGGAACATATCGACTCAACGAGAGTCCTCACAACTATAGCAGTAAAGAGACGTTGATGTACACGTCACAAGACCAAAATCTTGGAATGAAATTGTGTGAGATTTCAGACAACTAGTTAAATTAAATAAAAAGCAGACAAAAAAATGTAACATTGTCAGAAAATGACTTTATTCGAGTTGCTGTGATTTCTAGTTTAAAAGATACTGCAATTTTACTGGCATAGATACCAACCGGGGTTTTGTTTTGGCACTTTGCTTACCAAGGCAGACTTTCACTCTTTAGGGCCCTTTAGTTAACGTTTTAGACGTTGCGTTGCTATACTTCAGTAAAGTGTTTTATTCCCTCGACCAGGCTTTGAAATATAGTCAGATTTAAATGTCTGTCCTCATCTGGTAACATTGAATCTTGAGAAAAGTGAAGAACAAAACACTTTACCAGCACAGTATGATTTCAGTTACGTACACACACACACGCACACACACACACACACACACACACACACACACTATACCCAAATCACTCCACACACACACTTTTCTAAACTTTAGCTAGCATTCTTGCTGTTCTTCTTCTTCTTTTTCTTCGGTGTTTGCTTCTTGGAGGACTCTGCAATTGAGGCGGCAGTCGTTTTAGGTGTATATACGGCGGGTGGAGCTGATTCTGACTTGGTTGGTGCTTCTTCTGGTCCTTGCACTGGTTCAGCCTGGACCTTCCTGTCTCCCACTGGGACCACTGGTTCTACCTCTGCTGCCTTGACCAAGATCTCGGCCTCTGCTGCTTTTGGTTTCTGCTCTGTTGGTGGGTCGATCTTGACTTTTTCAGGCTCAGATGTCAGTGCTGGTTCAGCAGGTTGCTGCTGGATCTCCTCACATAGTTTCACTGCTTGAACCTCTTTATCCTGGACCATTGTTGGAACCTTTACTGTGTCTGTTGGTATCATTTCAGAAGGCTTTGGATCCTCCTCAAGTTTATCTGGCTGTGGGAGAACCAATTCTGCTGCCTCTGACTTGACATCTACCACCTGTTGAGGGACTGAAACCGCTTCCTCTTTGAGCTGGGTTTTGGTTTTGAACTGGACAAACGCAGAGTACATCAAGTCTTCTTCGGTGTCTGCGTCATCATTGTCGTCTTCGTGATTGTCGCTAGGTGTGGCCATCAGGGAGGCGGCAATCTCCTGCAGCTTGGCCTGCTCCTCCTTCAGACGGGTCATACCCTCCGTTAAGACAGAGTCCTCCTTCTCGAGCTCCTGGAGCTCCTGGACCTCCACAGGTATCAGCGAGGCAGATTTGTCAACACCCTCTGGGTTGGGGGTTTCGTCGGCGTTCGAGCTGCTGAAGACCTTTGCAGGGACGTTGGTGTTAGCCTGGCGGACTTCCTTGATCTTTTCATAGAGGATTTCCCTCTCGCTCTGCAGGGCATGACACAACCTCTCCAGCTTCTGAATCTTCAGGACGAACAGGTCGTACTCGTTGCTTTTCTCGGTTCTCTGGTGTGATGGAGAAGACGAGACGCAAAGAAAGTGAGACTAAAACTTGAAGGTTAACACCTCAGCAGCAGCATTGGTATACCTCGCTGGGTTCTATCAAGACTCGGCAAAACCTCCGAAGGGTCAACGTGAGTTTGAGAATTACAAGAAACTGTGGCAACACTGACGACATACCTCCTCCATCATTTCAGTCAGAGCCTTGTTGCAGCTCTCGAACCTTGTCTTCCACAGACCCGACTCTTTCTCCATTTTCTTCATCTTGTCTGACATCTAAAAAGAGGAAGAGTTAAAAAAAAAACAACGGGCTGCAGCGACAACGTCAGGAAACAAAAGCCGGACGAATGTGAGCTGCAGGAACTAGAAACATGGAACGGTTTAAGAGGAATATGTTTTACAGTATTCGATTAGACGCCTAACATCCTCATTCAGCTCCACACAGTCATCACCACCTACGTTATCCATCTCCTTCTTGAAGCGGACGTAGATTTCGTTGCTTTTGGCCAGCGTTGCCTGAAACTCGTCGAACTTCTCAGCATAGAGGGCCAGCTGTGGACAGACGAGATAGTCGGACTAAAACACAGACAGACACAAGCAGGATACTCAAATATTTTTTTGCTTTGTTTTAGTTTCGTTTAACTTGAACAAACAATTAAGTATTAAATCAGTTAACTTACTCACACACTATATAACAGGGAGACCTTAGTTAGATGTTTTATCCACACTTGAGACTGACAGTTAACAAGACCTCAATCAATGCAGCTCACTGTGATCATTCTGTAGGCACTAACCAGCTCATGAAAATGTTACTTTAGTGGAATTAAAACAGCAGCACTCTCCTTTTATTCACTTGTAATAAAGATTAATGTGGTCGTTTTCAAAGCCTTGCCAAAATGGAAGTCAGTCAGATTTCTGAATGCAGCAGGTGATAAACATACGACTGAAACTTGTTCTTGTTTCTTTCAGATCTCAAGTCAAACGTCTCGTCCAAGTCAAGTCTCAAGTCCTTGTTTTGTTGAGTCTCCAGGTCTAAAGCGAACCCTAACCTGAGATTTTGAGTTTCTTGTTCTTTTCACATGAATTTAAGAGTTGAGAGCTGCGTTTTTGTCTTTTTAGCATTTGGATGTTTTTCCCCTGAACAGCAGAACATACGAGTACGTAGTACGTAGAGAGGGATAAAGAGTTTAATCTCTCTGGTGGAAAACTTCTTCACATCAGATTATTCAATGCTTTCAGCATTACAAACACGTTTCCATTGACCGTCATCATATTGAGGTGGATGCAGAAGTCTACACGGGAGATATAAATCATTTGTAATTTAACATTTAAACCTTTAAATCTGTGGGTGAGTTAAGTTTTAAAAGGCAGAAATATCTTAACTGTCAAAGAAGATATTACTAAATCATGAATTATTATCAATCAATAACAATATCAGCCGCTGAAGACAGTTCATAAATTAACATGCAGAAAAGTGAAACCACCTTTTTTTAATTTAACATTTATACATGTTGGGTTCTTTAAAGGTTAATCTTAAATGTATATCTTTAGATTGCACTTTGCAACTGTGTTTAGAACTTTACAGAAAATGTATGAAATATGAAACTAATTCATTAGTTAACTGAACTCTTGAAATATGATAAATGAAATCGAATAGTTGGAAAGCGTTCCACTGTGTTTGTAAAGGATCACAGGTTCTCCGCTGTGTTCCATGAGCTCCGTGTTGCTACAGTTCTGGCCTTCAGTTTGAAGGGTAGATCTCGTCCCCTACTGCTGATCACCAGGTGTGTGCTACCTGTCGTCGGTGAATATTCACCTGTGCCTGCATCACTGTCCCCTGTTCTGTGAGTGTCTTAGTCTGCAGTTTCCACTCAGCGGCCTGAACCAGTAACTGGTTAGAAGAGAACAGACGGAGACGCATTACAGACGTGTCTTTACCTTCTTCTTCATGGTCAGCTCCAGCTCCTTCATAGCGAAGCATTTCTTTGTTTTGTCAATAGCCTCCCTAAGCAACTACAGCGACAGAGACAATACACAGTCAATCTGGGAATAGTGTTTAACAAGAATACAAACGATTATTATTATTACTTTAAAGTCACGGCTCTAATTCTGACAAGACAACTAAGACAATATAATGAGGAAAAAAATGAAGACAACAAATATCAAATAACAGAAACAGCAGAGAAATAATAATTCATAATGACGATGGTAATCTATGTGAATAATGTTTAACATTACTGCTACATTCATGCAGTAATGAAACATGTTTCCTGAGTAACTGATCAAAGAATCGCTATGATAATAATAGATATGATGATTATTATTATTAAATAATAACACAAGTTTAAAATAACCGTTGACCTAACATAAATGAAGTACTGTGCATTTACAGACGGCTTCATATATATAAAATGATTTTTACGTCCTTTTAAAAAAAGCTTTAGTGCATATTAAATATTGTCTGACGGGACGTGTGTGTTCTACGTCCACTCACATATTCCTTCTCCCGCTTGTGTTTCTCCTCGCCTTCGCTCAGCAGAGCGTGAGCCTGCTTCAGTTTGGCTTCAGTCAGTTTGTGCTGCAGGTCGCGATGCTTGTTGATCTTCTCCAAACCCTGCAGAGAGAGGAAGAGCGTCTTTAACGGAAGAATCACGGTCTCTCTATCGATTGATCTGTCGCCGATGTTCTCCATTAACCGACTGATTGTTTGTCATTGAAATATCAGGAAGTAGAACAAATTATTCGTCACAATTCCCTCATATTTAAACTACTTGTTTTGTAAAATCAAAAGACCAAAACTCAACAAAAAATATATTTTTAGAAATGATTTATTACTAAAATGTTCAATGAGAGACACAACATCAGATAACAAGACATAACTTGTTTTATCTTCATATCTTAATGTCTCATTAAAGTGTTAAACCAATCACACAACATTATTCAGTCAATAATGAACAGCTCCTCTTCCAATAAAATGTTTATAAACGGATTATTTTAAGTGTCTCTTTATTACCGGCCTTAATCAAGATGGATTAAGATGTTTGACCTCTCACCTCCTCCCTCATCTCGCACTGGTTCATGAGGCCCTCCAGTTTGTCTGTCAGGTTGCTGTTCTCGTTGCACAGCTTGTCGTTTCGGGTGCTGTGCTGCTCGATCTGAGCCTGGATCTCCGTCAGCATCATCTGGAAGTGGGTGGTGATCTCCGTCCTCTTCTCCTCGTCCTCCCTGCAGCGCTGAAGGGTCTCCGCCTACATGGGGGGGGGGGGGTCAGAGAGAGAGAGGTCTTTTTGTTTGAACTGCTCCCCTCAGACATCGTTGTTGTGTGGTTTCCTCGGCTACACACCCTCAGGACGTCGCAGTGTCCCTGCAGCTCTCTGCACAGAGCCTCCAGTTTGCTGCGAGCGGCGGCGCTGCTGCGACTCTCCTCCTGCTGCTGCTGCCGCTCGTCCAGCAGGAAGGACAACTTCTTCTGCAGGACGCACAGCTTCCTCTCATCGGCACGCCGCAGGGCTGTCTGCACACACACACACACACACACACACGCACACAGAGGCTTGCTGTAATTGCATGACAGCTACTACTTGCATTGAAAGAAAGATGTCTGAACTTGAGCGCTCAGGTTTCTGCGTGAGTTGTTTAAAAGGTCTCTCCATATCTGAAACTCACCAGTTCAGCATGTTTCCTGACCACATTCTCTAGTTTCTTCTCTGGAGAGGAGAGCTTGTTCAGACTCTTCATGATGAGACAGACCTCTGGAGAGACAACGACAAGAAGTTGAGGCCTGTGTTAACGACGTTTGTCGTGATGTGTTTGAGTTCTAACTCTTTGTGTCATGATGCTTTTTTACGTTGCTGTGTTTTTAAATTCCTAATGAAAATCAAATCGAGTTGGAAGTTTATTTTCTTATAGACAGATAAAAAAACAGAAATATAAAAGAATTTGACTAAATTCCTTTTATCTCATGAGAGCGTGTTCAAACTGGTCCGTCCATAAGGCGAATACATAACTGCTTCTATCCTCACACAACAGTTTGTATATTTTACAAAAAGTTACTCATTTTTCCTGCGTTTTCCTCCAACAACACGTGTTGATTTCTGCTCGTTACAGGAATAGTCTTTTCAAAATAATATTCAGTCTTTACAGGAAACAAATAAGTTAGGTTCAGGTTTAAACAAAACTACTTAGTTAGGTTCAGTCAACTAAACTACATAGTTAGGTGTAGAAAAAGATCGTTGTTTGGGTTAAAACATCTACAGAAGCGCTGTTGTTGAAGTACAGAAGTTACGTGACAAATCAATCAACGTGGCCTCCTGGAGGAAGAAGTGGGTCTTTATACTTCTTTGTTCACGATGACGTAGATTACATACGAACTGATTTAGTGGGATTTCTACTCATCACAGCGCATTACTTTGTGTAGGTGTAGCTACGAACGCTGGATGAGACCATCTCATCATGGAGAGAGATGTTCTCAAGTATCTACCTGTTTATCTCCTTTTCACTTGTTACTTTATCAATAACTAGCTGTTTGTGTATTATTATTTTTTTGAGACAAAAATGATTAATTATTGTAAAAGCCACTTATTTTTGTGTCAAAAAGGGTTCAAGAAACTTTAGAAATACCTCCTACCGGCGTTGCGTTCCTGTCAGTATTTAAGTGTTCCTGTGTTCCACAGTCAGTTATTGCTGTTCGATGAGTCGTGAAGCGTTTATGTAAATCATAAATGTACTGTGTTTATTTAAATGACTGTAACCTGTTTTGAAAGCCATGGTGAAGTGTAAAATATTGTATTTTCGAAAACACAACACAATTAATGAAAGACTACATCCAGCAGCATTATGGGAAATGTAGGCTGTAGACCCATATTAGAGGGTCAAAGTCATTGCTGCATCTTTTTTTAACCCTTTTAACCGTAATGGTAGCAAGTCGTTCTGCCTCACCTGTCTCCATGGCCACAGGGATGTCATCTCTTGGGTCCTTCTTCATCTTCTCCATCTCTGCCTCCATCAGACTCTGTTCACAACAATGACAAACATCACACACATCACCAGAGGCCAGAAGTGAACTCAGGTTGTTCTCTGTGTGTCTCACGTCACTCGACTCACCTGTTTGTCCAGGAGCTCGGCTGCAGAGCCGTGGGTGCTGATGATGTCCTCCAGCCGTCTCTTGAACTCCTCCATGGGGTCGGAGGAAGAGGAGGCTTCAGTGTTCTCAGCTTTTCCATCAGGCTTAGGAGGCACCAACACCTCGGCTGCTTTCACCGACGTCTCCATCCTCAGTGTTCTGGGAATATTTATAAAGAGTCATTCGTCCATGTGTTCAGTCTGGATTTATTTGTAGTCAGCCAACGTATGATATCCCAAGAAAAGTTACTCCTCATGTTTTGCACATTTCCCTGAGAAAGCCAGCCTCACATCTCAATATCTCCTTAGTTAGGTTCAGGAAAAGATGGTGAGATACTCTGTTAGTTTGTTGAACGCTGGATGAAACCAGCTTGTCAGCAAATATAGAATTTCATGAACAAATTGGCACAATTTCATGCTTCAGCAGGTCAAAAGAAACAGACTTAGATTTGATATTGTGATTTTCTTTTTGTAACAACACCACTACATCTGCTACTAGTTAGTTTTTTCTTTGCTGAAAACTATTTTGCATGTATTGGTTGTATTAATAAATATCTGTCAGCTAAATCCACATATTAATCTTTTTCCTCCTCGTCGTAGAGCGGAGGGTTTGATGTGACAGATCTCAGCAGTCTGGCAGGTTATTAATGGAGCGTGGATTTCAATGTCGGAGATAATAAGCCTCTAAACTCCGGCAGCGCCTCTCGCCTCCCAACAGCTGCTCTGATTTAATGCGTCAGCTTCTGTGGGTCAACGTGAGCTCCATCATGTTCAAACTACCAGTCAGATTTGGGTATTTATCGGCTACTGTGATGTGAGTCCAGACAGAGCTTCAACTCTTCTATTTAAAGGTTTTACCTGCGTCTGTTTGCACCTCATGATACAAAATATCAGAAACACTGAAGCTTTGAGGGGTGGCTAATGAGTCCCGCCCTGCTGTGCTGTGATTGGCTGGTAATGGCCAGTGTTACTGACGATATCAATGTGCGTTCCTATACACTGAAGAGCATGGAGAAGAGTCTCTGGTGTGGAGGAAGTTGTTAAAATTCACTCATTTAGGGGCTGGCTAGTTAGCTAGTTAGCTTACTAATTCCACCATGCTTTCATGCTGCACTGGTTACAGATATGGATGTATTCACAAGGGAGAAGTTTGTGTGTCCAACAAAGTCTCAGGGCAGTTCGTGAAGGCAACAACCTACCAACCAGCCAATCAGAGCACAGTGGTACTAGCCAATCACAGCATAGTAGGGTGGGAACAGGCAAAGAAGACACTCCTGGGAAAATGTAACGCATTGCTAACGAGGCTTCAGACATTTAATCGTGTTTATTGTGTGTGTGTGTGTGTGTGTGTGTGTGTGTGTGTGTTGTGGGGACATAAATCTGTTTACACAGTCACTGTGGGGACTCGCCTTCTTTCTGGGGACAAAATGCTCATTTCAACAACATAAATCATTATGTTTAAGATTGAGGACTTGGTTTAAGGATACATTAAGGTTTAGGTCTAGATTAAGTTAAGGTTGATGTTAAATTAAGGTTTAGGTCTAGATTAAGTTAAAGTTTAAATCAGGGTTAGGATTAGCAAGTAGAGGTGTGGTTAGTGATGGAAACACAACTGTTTGTGTGTGTGTTCAGTGGCTGTTTGTCCTGACGTCTCTGTCACATGACGGCTGCCACCGTTATTGTATCTGGTCAGTTAAAATTAGCCGTCTGAGCCAGCCCCCACTTTGTCTCACACACACGCACACACAAACACACACTCAGAACACACACACAGAACACACCTGCTATAGTCTCATCTATTCTGAGAGCGTCCAAATAAGGACACACATGCTACACACACACACA